ATTGAATTCGACATCGCATCCCTCGATGACAGCTGTCAAGAAGACTTTGTCATAATCACCGATGTATCGACACTGGGAATCATCGGCCGATTCTGCAGTGGGACTCCACCCTCAGGACATTACATGTCTTCTTTGAATAGGATGAGATTGTTCTTTCATTCAGACGGGATTGAAGGTGCTGCAGGATTCCTGGCAGAATATTATACAGGACAGCTGGTACCAGATGTCTTCTCTACATCTACTACTACGAGTTTGTATTACAAATATATAAAACATGATGACTTTTTCTTCTATGTAGTCTGTAATTTCATTTGATCAAACACATTAATAGCTTGTAAATATATGATAATCTATAGAAAAAGACATGAAATCAAACCAAGTGTAACAAACTTTTCCACTTTGAGTAGTTATATTCCACTAAAACGTGTTTTATGTCGTTATTGCAGAACAAATCGGTGTACCCCGACATTCCATGCCGTACGACGCAGGAAAAACTTAGATAAATCTTGAAACACCTAAGCAGTTTTCTGATGACTGAAAATAATACAACTGGATTGATTGGTTCGGATTTCCGATAATATTTCAACCCAAAATGATGTAAGTCGACTGTAACAAATAATCAGACCGATGTCTTTAGTCAACTGTGGCTTGCTTGAAGTAGACTCAGAACGGGTTTCAACCTGGTTGGAAATTCTTGAATACGGGATGTGTATATTTTATGTGGTGAAATGTTACTGGTTATTGAATTATCGCCTTGCAAGAAGTATGTCTTTCTTTCTTTCTTTATTCTTTTTTTTCTCTATTACTTCTCAGATGAGACTTGTCCGTCAGACTGGGATTACTTCCGACGATCTTGCTACAAACTTGTTATCAGCTCTGACGTCATAACATGGAACGAGGCAGAGGCCGAATGTCAAACCATAGAGGGCGCACATCTGATCAGTATTCATGATAAAGATGAGATGACGATGTTACATTACATGATATCAACCCAGTGGGAGACTACAGAAACAAAGACTTATATTGGTAAGTCAGGGAGTATTGAAAGTTTGTTGAACAGGTCCCATATTTATACATAAACACGTTACACATCAGTGTGGTAAATATCCGTGTGATATTTGAGGTAATAACATGTATAAGATGGAATTGTCCCGGGCCGTTTTTTATTGGGTAATCACTGAGAATCGTTTGGATTATTAATTTACCCCATTTTCATTAAATATATGAGTGTTATATGTCGTGTACTGTTGAAAATGTTGCCCTAAATCACAGGTATCATTATAACTCTAGCTATTTTATGTCATGCCTTCATCAATACCCATATAATCTTGCTAAGACAGAATCATATTTTCCTCTCCATTACTTCATGATGTAGGTCTAGGACATAGGAACCAAAGAGGGTTATTTGTATGGACAGACGGAACACCTATGTCATATACTGATTGGTATATTCCTACACAGTAAGTGCTAAGTCTCCGTGATTCTTAAAGCGCCACTGTACTACTGGTCGCCACTGGCTCCCTCTATAGCCTATACATATAATAGAAAACAATGCCTGATCGGTGACCAATGGTCGCACATGATCCTCTTTTTCTTGTGTTAATTGAGAGCTCATTTGATGTGATAGCCACCTGTTAGTGACTACCCTGGGTGGTCTAATCCCTCCTAGCCAAACTAGTACAGACGGCCTTTAATATAAATAGACTATAAAGTCATGAATTCTGCTGCACTGTGGGGAAACACATTTGATTATTCAGCTATAAACAGTTGCCTAAATTTGAAGGAGTGGAACACACTAATATAAAAGTGCGACTTGTTCATGTACATTATAAAGCTCCTTCTTCTCCTATCTTACGTTCATGAGATGTATAAATAATGAATAGCATATTTAACAACTCACTTGGAAAAAATTAAACGCTCTTAAAAAATAATCGCGTTTTATAAGGATATGCAGTGAGGCCCTTGTAAGGTTTGACCGCGACTGTACGCCTCAAAGTTGGTATTGTAAGCATAAACCTCTCATCACGCACACTATCTAACGCGCACCTCACACCCAAACAACCACTCACACCCACATACACACACACACATTCGCGCGCACACACGATCCCAACAGATTTTTTCGTGGCAATTTTAATCTGAAAGATGGTTTGTACCTTAAAGTTACATCATATAGAAACAGTTGTAAACTGTATACTGCATGCACAATCACCTTTCGCAGCCAATCACACCTCACGTAATTAATATGAAAGTTATAGTTCTACGATCGGTTACAGGAATGAGAAAAGTGTAAATGAAGTACAATGATGGATAACGGTTATTATGAAGTATTAGAATCATTAAAGTTAAATAATAATAATATTATTATTATTATTATTAAAGTTTGATTCCATATAGTCCATTGAGAAACAGGTTCCTTCCATTGATACTACGCACAAGTGAAAAGCAATCTCGAATTCACTGATATCTTTAAATAATCTTGATAACTGGATTTGTCTACATGCACGAATCGTTTTTATTTACCAAAGCACCGAGGACGGAGAGAAACAGCCCAATGGTGGAATGCTAGAAGCATGTACAATGTTAGTCTTTGATCCTGCAACATCGACCGATCTTTCTACCGATCTCTGGCACGATGTTGCCTGTGCTTCTCCGGAAACGACACAGTTTATTTGCAAAACTCAAGCGACAGGTAAAGACCAAATTCCTGACATATATATCACGTATCTACAGTACCTGACGAAGGATTGGGCAGAAAATGTAATAGGCTCACGGAGATTTGAGAATATATCATTATTTTCAAATAGGAGCCCTAAATATTCAGAATAATAGATAGGCTACAGGAAAGTGTTGCTTTGAAATTTCTCAATTGGAGAGGGGGGGGGGGGGGTGGTTTTCAGTTTTCCCACAGTTTGCCAAGAAACGTTTTAACAAGCCCACCAAAGGTCATCATTTCTTGCAATGTTTTAAACACGATATTAAATCCAACTAGGCCAACTCTCGATTCTGAATGTCTAGAAAGTTAGTTTCCTTTTAACTATAAGTGCAATAAGTACTTTCCCCCCTAATTTACCGACAAATATTTTTGCCTATGAAAATCACATTTTTATAAAAATGGATTATATTCTTCAATTTGTACTTAAATCTACAGATTCACCACGGAACTCATTGGTTGTTCCTTACAAACCAGGTAAATATCTCATTCAACTTGTTCACCAGGACGCTAAAATTTAACTGCGTGTCCTGAATGGCTAAATTATGATATCATTTTAGTCAATTCATTTTTAACCCCCCCCCGTTTTTTTTTTTTTTTTTTTTTTTTTTTGGGGGGGGGGGGGTATAATATAAGCTGGTCTACCCATTACTACCAAGAGAGAAGTCATTTGTATTATTACATATAATAAAATTAAAAGACTAATTGCCATAAAACACTAATCAACAACAACAAAGATTTCATGTCTCTCTGCCCTTCTCTCTCTCTCTCTCTCTCTCTATTTCTCTGTTTCTGTTTTTCTCCATCCTATTAATATATGTGACAAGTTTGTATATATTTGTAAGATATTTTGTTTTTATGATTAATTTCCTCGTAAACTTCATGCGGTTCAACCCTTGTGGATTTTTAAAATAAATACTATTTCAATTCAATTCGGTTTAATCTTTCTACACTCTCTATTACCCCCTTCATTATCTAAACCGTTCCCAGAAGAACAAATAATGTTTCTTACTTTTTTTCTACATTTCTAGATCCAGTGGAGTCTTGTGAGTCAGGACTATTCCATTGTACCTCAGGGGAGTGCATACATGATGTGTTCGTATGTGATGGCGCCGATGATTGCCAGGACTCAAGCGACGAAACCGATTGCAACGAAGGTATGTATAGTTTCAAAATAGTTTGATGATGTAATTTTCTATTTACAGTCACATGTGTTTCGTTATACATTAATGAGTAGAAAGGGATTGAAAGAATAATTGGACTGTATTTGAAACCTTTACCACAACCTTCTGTCGTATTGGCAAGGGGTAAAGCCGTATCTTCTGAAGTTCATTTTTTTCTACAGGCTTATTGTTTCGAAGACACAAATGTCCTATACTATGGGCTCCTTTACCGAAAGTGAAAGGTGGTTCCGAATATCAAGGAACATTTGCATGGGTGTCGATCCTTACGTAATACCTATTCATCAGGGGGGATGAATGAATAGATCATCCCCCTGATGAATAGGTATCAGTTACGGATCGACACCCATGAACATTTGGATACATGAAACGGTTAAAAAATGACTAGTAGCCAAATCAAAACCCTGCATGGTTTGAAAGCAAGCCGTCCCAATTAAGACTACAACAGCAGGTGCAAAGTATGAAGTTTACTGTGTTAATCATATCGTGACTTTACAGCAGGAAAACTGAATAACAAAAGTAACTTCATGAAATAAATATAATATATATTTGTCTCTCATTTTTAAACTAGGTTGCGATGAGAACCAATTCCAGTGCAACGATGAGTCGTGTATATCGGTGTCGTTTGTGTGTGATACCATTCCAGATTGCAAGGACAATTCAGATGAAACTAATTGTGGTAAGTTCAGTCTCATGAAACGTGGCATATCCTTAAAAACATAAATTTATGAGTTGGTTCAATAATGATGACAATAATAATAATAACAACATCAACAACGACAACTAAACAATAATAATAATAATAATAATAATAATGATGATGCAAAAGTAAGCTCATTTGGCTTATGTAATGGTCATATTACCCCCCCCCTTCGTTTACAGGGTGAGTTCGGGTGTTTCTAAACTGTTGCACTAAATACCCCCCCCCGTTAATATATATATATATATATATATATATATATATATATACATATATTGAATAAGGCAGACTAATGGGACATAGTTGCTACTCCGAGTTTCACGCCTTGCAAGCGATCATCAGGCAACTAATGTCATATATTTTCACGACAATGTCATACTTGTTGTATGTCTAGAAAGAGGGTAAAATGTATTTTGAAAGTAAATGCGCATATTACCTGTTGTGTCTTGAGAGTTGAGATTGAAAATGTTATTACTCTGAATGAATAGTGAAATACCAGAGCGATATTTATTCATCAGCAAAGAAGCATCGTAATATAATCATAACGATGTTAATTTTAAACAGTATGGTAAGGTTTAGTTTTGAAATTGATTTTTTTTCCTCGTGTAGTTTTTGTTTGTTGCTCTTTGTGCGTATTTTGGTTTTAGGTTTAGTTTTCTTTTTTAATTGTTTTAATTCTTTTTATCGTATTTTGAATTTGCCTTTTTATTGATAGAATATTCTTAGTTTCCTTTGAATTTATTATTCGTTAATGTATGTAGAATTTGGCATTTTATTTTCTATAATTGTAATATTTATTCATTATTGCATATGTAAACTTAATCTAGGCCCACAGAGCCATTCGGGGAAAGCAGTTGTGTTACTGACAACGCTACCCTGTAAAAATATAAATATCAAATAAATAAAGATATCAATCAATCAATCAATAAGTTATTGGGTGACTAAGTTAAAACTTCCTATGCGCTGAACGCCAAAAAATCAAACTAGAAGCATGACAAATGAAAACCTGATCACGATATTGGATCTTACATGTACCTCATACAGTTTATCCTCGATGTTCGGAGTCTGAGTTCACATGTGACAACAGACAATGCATCGACATCTTCAAGAGATGTGACTTTATTCCACACTGCTACGACTCTTCTGATGAAGCTGATTGTGGTAACCAACATTTTCATTTTTCTATCTTGTTTCATTTCTCCGGTCTATTTCTCTCATTAATCTGTTACAAGTTTGTTGTAAACGTATGTATAAAGAAGATGATTATCAAGTATCTGATGAGGAAATTTTCGAATGACATTTTTCCCTCCTGTTTTGTATCTACCCCCTTCTCTCGCTCTCCCCCTCTCTCTATCTCTCTCTTTTCCTCGCTCACTCTGTCTCTCTAGCTGTCTCCCACTTTGTATTTTTCCAACCCAATCCTTGTCTCACTCCAGTCCTTGTCCTGACTTTTTCATTCTTATTTTTTGCCTCCAAATATTTTTTTCTCTGTCTCGTTGTGTACCCGCTTAGAGGATTCAAGTGTTAAATCATTTAAGAAATAAAATTCATATTTTGTATTGTTTTTCATCCCTTAGTTCTTGAGCTATTATCGTCAGCGTTCCAGTGTTTTGATGGGTCTCTGTTTCCAAACAAAGTTAGATGTGATGGCATGGTTGACTGTATCGGCAAGACTAAAGAGGACGAAGACCAGTGTGGTAAGATGGGAGAATTTTTATTTGAAAAAAGGGTAATCCTGTACTTAAATTGTTACGTGAATTTCTTCTTTTTTCTTGACTTTTTTGGATTTTTATTCATTTGCTTACAGATTCCGAATGAAATATCACATCCCAAAGTTCGCCAATAGTCATGATATTTGGCTTTTTCAAATGCTCTCTTGGGGTGAAGAATGCTATGACAAAAGCATGATTCTTTTGCAAAAATACTCGTGTCGGGGTTTGTGATGATTTTCCTATTTAGTTTTTCTTTATAGGCCTACATTTTTTCGAAAAGTGTTCGTGATACCTTTGTTTCAAAATCACCGTGATACCATTGTTTCATTTTTTAAATTTCATTTATATACTTCTTTCAATTTACCCAGATTACATGAATCCAAATTTTGTCTGTAACTCGGACACTGAACTGAAGTGTGATAACGGCGCATGCGCACCACTGGATACCATCTGCATGTACGAACTCAATGAATTTGGATTAATCAATGGCTGCCGTGACGTCACAAATCTCAAAGAGTGTGGTAAGAAATATGATTTTTATTTATGTCATTAAATACGAACTTTCCTAAATCAAACTCAGAGTTCATCGAGCGAGGTTATTTCGAACACCTTATAACATTTTCAAATCGTTCAGCATCTTTCTTGTGTATAATTTGATGTTAGTATCTAAATATGAAGTAATATCTTACCATAATGTCGATCTTCTAAATTACTTATATTCCTTATTGGAAAGTTAGAGAAAAATGTTGCTATATAGAACGGTTGTCAAGTGTGCTGCCAGTGCACATGGTAGATGCTCCGACAAAACTCTCTTCGCATGTTACAGGTGCTCATATAGTTCCATTAAAATATCTGTTTCTGTTCCAAAATGATCAAATTATCGAACTAAACGAGGAGATTGGTATTTGCAGGCATACTTTCTTCGAATTTGATTGAATTTAATTGAATGTATACTGTTATATTACCATTTTAGAGACTCACAAATGTCCATCTTGGACAATGAAGTGTCCAGACTCTTACTGTATTCCTCTACGATATCGATGCGATGGAAAGATGGACTGCCCTACAGGAGAAGATGAACAAGAGTGTGGTATGGCCTGATGGTCCTGTATTATCATTAGTACTATTATAACTATTATTCTTGTTCTTATGATTATAACTGGTACTTTTAATTATGACTAATATCTTTAATATTTTGTATTATTAATATTATTATTATTCTTAGTGGTATTATTATTATTATCTATATTATCATTATTATTATTATACCATTGTTGGCGTTGCCTGTAGCTGGGAGGCATTAGCAAAATGAATCACTGTGACCCTCGGCTCTCTCCTCCTAATTAAATTATTTGGGATGTGCAGGTTGACCACTTCACAGGCGTTTCCCCCACTCTCATACGAATTGTGCAGATGGGTTTTAAATGTACAAAGTTGGTGACTCTCCTTTACACGGGCCATCCATTTAACGTTCTATCCAAGACATAGTGTTTTCCACTGTTATTCAGTTGTATATTTCATATGTAACACTGTATCATCATCTTAATAATTTCAAACAGGTATACTACTAAATAAATTGATTTGATGATGAAAAATTCTGAATGATTTAAGCTATTACCTTAAATAGTTTTACTCATTAACAAAGCTATTTTTGTTTTGTTTTTTACCGAAATCGCTCGTACCTTATTATTTGTGCTATCGTAACTCCATTATAACAAAGTTTGGGAATGTTTTCGAGGAGATAGTGCTCTTTAGGGTAGGTTGCGGGAGAGGAGCAGTGGTAGTCATCTGCTTGTGGTAGTGAATAAAAGTTATCCATACAAAGGATAACGGAGAAATTCCCCGAAGACCGAAAACAGATTCAAAAGAATAAGCTATACCAGAGCCGATCGCGGTTCTCGTGATCAAAGGTTTAGGTATTATGGACCTTCTAACAACTAGTCAAGAATGCTCACGATATCAGAAGCCCAAGACTAAAAGTTCACGGATTCCTGGATCTAATGGGTCTCATAGGCTTTAAAGTCTCTGACCTTCAATTTTTGTTCAGCTGGATGTTGCTTGTCATATACACCCAAAACCAAGTGATGCTTCGATAGGTATTACATGAACTACAGTAATATTTGATGATTGATTAATGTTTATTTTCACTAGATACATTTGATTGCCCAGCTGGGTCATACCGCTGTCATGGCAACAAGATCTGCATCAGTCCTGAGCATGTCTGTGATGACGTAATACACTGTCCTGATCAAGATGACGAGATGTTTTGTGGTAGGTTTTAAGATGATGTTTTCTACTGATTAATACTTGCATTTGAATTTAAAAGCAATGGTAAACTCTGACAATTATTCGACAAATTCGCTGCTTGGTTTAAATATTTGATCGGTGTGTCTGTTATTAGTCTTGTCGGTCTGACATCAACATATTGGTATTAACATTAATATGATATGATTATGTTAACTGTTGTAAAACAATACAATCATGTGTATTTCATTCAATTCTTCGAATAACGCATTACTAATCGACAAGAGTTGTCTTTTAATCTTCTTTCTCACCATCAACAGCTGGATGCCCCGATGGATGCGCCTGTACTGGACTTTCATTCACATGTCATATTCATACCTTACGCATCACATCTCTACCGAGGAATCTTAGAAAATTGTAAAAATGTCGTCACTTTTTACCATATATTTGGCAGTTTGCCGTGAATGAAATCGTAGAAAGGGATGGAAAGTCCACGCCTCTCATGCATAATAAATCCAGAATCACAAGTCATGCTAAAAGTTTCAAAACTCGAGGTGTATGCATATATACCAGGTTTATCACGACAACCAGTTTAATCGTTCAGTAAAGCTGTTGATGCCTGGTCATTTGACGAGCCCAGACAAAATGTGTAGGCTATTTATTAGAACCCCACGTTTATGAGAAAGTACAACATCACTTTACAAAGATATGTCTAGATGTCTTTACTTGACAAAGGTTGTTAAATTCAAATTTAAAAGGATACTACAATCTATTTTAATATATTTATAATGCCTGTCATTATAAAAATTCGAAACTTCCGGTCTTACCTCGAAAAGGAAATGATATTTCTAGACAGTAACATTCCCAACCTTGTGACATAATCATTGCAATTGTCTTTGAACTCATTTAGGTCCCTTGGTTGTGAGAGCGAAATGCCATGTGGTTCCAGAGATATCGTGAATGCCTTGGAAAGAGATGCGAATGAGAATGGCACAATCGTACCATCTATGCTACCTTACCTCGTTGAAGTGTAAGTGGATTTACACAGTAAATAATGTAGTACTTCTACTACTAATACTATTACTACAACAACAACAACAACTACTACTACTACTACTACTACTACTACTACTACTTCTACTAATACTACTACTGCTGATGCTGCTGCTGCTACTACTACTACTACTACTGCTGCTGCTACTACTACTACTACTATTACCATGATTACTGCTACTACTTTTACACACTGCTACTACTAATAATAATACTACTACTACTACTACTACTACTACTACTACTACTACTACTGATGCTGCTGCTGCTACTACTACTACTACTACTACTGCTGCTGCTACTACTACTACTCTTACCATGATTACTGATACTACTTCTACACACTACTACTACTACTACTACTACTACTACTACTACAACTACTACTACTACTACTACTACTTCTACTACTACTACTAATGCTACTACTACTACTACTACTACTACTACTACTATTACCACGACTACTGCCGCCACATCCATCTTCACCACTCGTAACAGTACTACCAGCTTATCCGGGACTTTGCAGTTGTTCAATAACTATGTGTTAAACGACAATTGAAAATGATGATGACGATGATGATGATGATAACGATGATGATGGTGAAATCGATATTAACAAAACTGATAAATAAACATATACCTTTTGTCCACTATTTCTTACAATTGAATCTTATTCATGAATATTTCATTTCTTGGCTTTTACGATTCATTTGTTTGTGCAAAATATAAACATAAGTGTCTTTATCTTTTTATACAGTGCCCTTGAAAATTCAGGAATTTCAGAGATTGAACACGGATCATTTTCAGAAAGTTCAAATAGTTTGCACCTGTAAGTATTACAGTATCATCTGCATTACTCGTCAAACTAAACAAGATAAATTTTTTTTATTTGTATACAATACCCATGTGTGATGATTGTCGTTACTATATTGTGTTCTTTTTCAGTAATATTGTTATGTCTTTTATAACTCTGATGGCTCCAAAACCTTACATTATACAACTAATCTTTTCAGTTCAAATGTAACCGCCAATCCAATTCAATTAGAATACGTTTATCTTAAAAGGTCAGGGTGACTGTCTAGAACTTCATCAATTACTTAAAGATAACTCTATTATGTTTGAAAACATAACATTTGTGGAATATTTATAAAGTGGCGGTGTCGTGGTATAGTGGTTCGTTTACTTGACTCTCACTACAATGGTTGTGGGTTCGAATCCTAGTCCGGCACTAATGACATGTGTTAAGACATTACTCCACATTTGCCACTCTCCAACCAGGTGTAATCGGGAACCTGACAATTGCTGGGGCAATTATAATTGCATGGCCTGCAGGAAGACGAGGTTTAATACTGGTATGGCTACACCGGGTAAATAAGACCCAATAGGCCTTTTTCGTAATGTATTACCAAATTTGTTCGCGTGCCTTAATATGAGGCGCTCCTATATCAAGTGTTTCATTCAGCTGTTACGAATAAATGTATCTCAATAGTCGGAATTGAAATTGAATACATTAGTTGTTGCTAGGTAGGAAAAACATTTTGTCTTGCCCTCACTAAAAACACGTCACATTTGCAAATTGCATTATGACTATTGAAACATTCGTAACAGGTAAATGAAATATTTCGTATCGGGGCACTAAAGTACAAATTTTGTTATCATTACAAAATTGGTGTATATTATAGTATTAATGACTGCTTTGAGAGAAATAGTTGTTTTTATACGCTCAAGGAAAGGTTAGAATTGTGCTATTGCCCGAGGCGTGCCGAGGGCAATAGCCCAATTGTAACCTTCCCGAGAGCGTATAGAAACAACTATTTCTCGAATATTAAAGCAGTCATTAATACTTTTGTATGCCGAAAAAAAAAAGAGTCAACTTATGACACCATCTTGGCCTTTATCTAGTTTGTCTGCACGGTTGTTTTTTTATGAGTGTATCGATGAGAGTAGACTAAAAAAAAAATATATATTTTTTTTGTTGTTGTCGAAGATGGGATTCGATCTCTTGAGTACCAACGATGATGTGACTAAAATCACAGTCTTAGACCGCTCGGCCATCGCGCACTTATACCATACCTTGCAGTTTTCTCTTATGTATACATTAAAATGGATTGAAAACGGCTTCGCGTGCTGGATGCTTCGCGGCAGCTCCATTAAACAGGCCCTTCTTTTACTTTTGCAATGCATTGGCACGAACTTAGATCAAGATCTATCGGCAGATGTTGTTTTTGGAAGTTTATATTCGTCTTCATCTCAACAATGCCAGATAAAATTGTCGGTAAGATCGATCGAGATTCAATTGTATTGAAATTACCGACCAATTCATCGCACACGTACGGTATCCTCGATCGCTCAGACCATTTTTTAACATGTGAACCTATGGGTATTTCACCAAGACTGAACTATTTTCCCAGTAACCATGGTAACTGGGATTTTAGAACTATTTTTTTGGAACTATTACATGGGTTTGGAATTTTACCGGGAATTTTACAGGAACAGTTGAAGTTTATGAATGCAATTTCGACCAATCAGATGGCTGGATTTCTTAAGTGAGGTATATAACATTTATTATTTAAGATGAATGATAATGTACCAATGCATTTGTCTTCCCTTTTTCTGTCAGAGATCTCGCATTAAATGACATCTACATGTTATTTCAAGATGCATTCCGAGGTCTGCAACGATTGGTTACTTTGTAAGTTTCTCTTTAAATTGTCCGTATTTTCCATTCATCTGGTTATTCATGTTTGGTTTTACATTTCCATGTTATTTTTATGTTTTTATATGTCTTGAGTACTCACGCGATCTTATGTTTGATGACTTGTAAACGTTAAATTATCATCTATAATAAACTGAATTGATTAAATATGTGTTTCTAATAATTTTCAGGCTATTATTTTTTACTAAATTTGAAATATGAGGTTAGAGAAGTTTTCCAAAAAAAAATAATATGAAGCGTACTACAAGGATGCATTATTTGGAATCCAGTAAATTGATTTTTGTGTTCAGCTGCAATTAATCAACCATTTAAGCTCCAGTTCGTTTCAAATGATATATATGCTCATTCTTCTCATAATCTTTGACACTTGTTACAATCCTGTTAAATGCAAAGCGATTCATAAATTAATGTATTCCTGATCCATAAACATGTGCAATAATCCAAGTAAGAGGTAAAAAACTTGCATTACCGATAGAACCCTATCATATAATTAGTAAATTTTCTATACTTCTTTCTCTCTCTCTCTCTCTCTCTCTCTCTTCAGGAACCTTTCTAACAATCCTCTACAGATGATTGAAATAGGAACATTTGATAACCTAACCAACCTCCAAGAGTTGTAAGCACATTTATTTCATTTCTAGAAATAGAAAATTATTATATCCTGAAACAAATAGAGGCTTGAGCAATATTACAATGTGTGTATATTCGACTCAATTTAGCTGTTGCAAAGCGGATGACATAACATTACTTTAAAAATAAAAAATAAAAAAACATGTTTAATTATCTGCATGGAATAGGTAGAAAATGTTTTTATGTAAAACAAAAAATAGTGTATTTCTATAAACAATATTTTTTTTTGTTCAGAACTGTCAGCTGAGTAAATTTGCCCCACTGCCTCTATAATGCAGTGTGTTAAACGCTAATATTAAACGAAAATAGAGTACTTACTTGACATTGACGATGCTAAAAAGAATATTTGTCTCTGTGTTGGTGAAATCGCTGCTGAGTATTCACTCATCCAGAAATATGTCTTTGTTATAAATGTTCGAATAATGAATAAAGTGTTTGCTCTATACATTGAAATAAAGGTTACATTGTCAATATCTGCTAGCAATAAATATTTGTTGTTTGTTTGTGTTTCTTTGCAGGGATATTCGAAACACACTTATATTTGAATCAGGCGATACTGAATTTGGCGCGTTCACAGGCTTACATAATCTAGAAACGTTGTAAGTCTATAAGTTACTTTATATTAATCCAAATTAAATCTGATATTAAAAACACAGAATTGAAGAAAATGAATAAATTACGGCAGAAATTTAACTCGAAAAAAAAGGGGGGGGGGGGGTTGAGGGCTTATTTATTTCAATAGGGACTCCTTGTGTCATAGTCATAGGAAAGAAAAGAAAAGGATTCGATGAATGGGATCTTTTTTGCACGGTCTGTGACAGATGTCAATTTCTGGGTTTGGAATGGATGTCATGGAGGTGGTAATGATGGTAAGGGGAGTCTAAACATGGGTGAGTGTTTCAGATTTTTTCTTTAATTATCTATGTGAGTATCATTTGTGCATCTTCCACATCTTGTCCGTGTATTCCTTTTCCTTAGCCGTCTTCTGTAAGTTTTGAAATTCAGATAACGAATATAATTGGGGCTGATATAACATTTAGATAAGAGTTATCATCTAATACTGTTAAATGATCAAAAGCATCATTACCAATATGATTTTCATATATTTTTTTGTTTAAACATATACAGGTATGCTGACAAATACCTTCTTTGCTGCCTGGCGGGTTTAGGGGATTCCCCTAACTGCAATGCACCACGTGACCAGTTCTCGTCGTGTGAAGATCTCATGGCCAATAACATCCTTCGAATCTTTATCTGGATTCTCGGGACCAGTGCTTTCATTGGCAACGTCCTTGTTGTTGGCTATAGACTCGTCAATTCTGGATGGGGCCGACATACGACCGTCCAATCAAGTCTGATCACCAACCTAGCCGTCTCTGATTTCTTGATGGGTTTGTACATGATTTCAATAGCGTCAGCTGATGTCTATTATCAAGGGAACTATGCTGCTCATGCTGATGATTGGAAGGATAGTATCCTGTGCAAGGTTGCAGGTATCACGTCCGTTGTCTCCAGCGAGGCTTCAGTGTTTCTGATCACGATCATAAGCATTGATAGGTGTGTCCATGTGGTGGCGCCATTTAAACCGCACCTACATCTCTCTGTCCGTGGTGCCCGAGTAGTTGAGCTCATCATCTGGGCCCTCGCCGCCTTCCTTGGCATTCTACCAACTCTTATCCCGGCTTTCGTCGAAGGGAAGTTCTACGGTCAATCAGGAGTCTGTCTGGCTTTACCTCTAACAGTCGATCGTCCTGCAGGATGGCACTACTCCATCTCATTGTTCATTGGTGTCAACTTCGTGGCGTTCCTGGTGACCCTCCTATGTTACATCTCCATCTACTGCATGTTTCAAATGTCGAAGCAGCAGATCGTCGGCAAAAGGAACAAGTCTAAGGAGGATATGCGATTGGCTGAAAACATCAAGCTGGCATCTAGGATGGCGCTTGTTGTTGGTACAGACCTTGTTTGTTGGTTACCAATCATCGTAATGGGCTTGATGTCAGCGAGTGGAACTCTGACAATTTCTGCACAGGTGAATTTCCGTTAATTTCACACTTATAATAATGTTATCGGAGGCAAAGTTAGGGCAGAGCAATGTGCCCTTCTGGATGATTATTTTGGGGATGTGCTGTTCGGTCTGTTAGATTGTTATTCAAACCACGGGCCATTATCCGTAACTCGTAGGGAAGATCAGTAATTTTTGATTTGGTGGAAAGATCAGGCCTTATTACCTCAGGAAATTACCTCAGGAAATACCAAAGTGGAAAGACATTGAATCAGAAAAATGTAAACCTTTTTCAAGCTGAATTGTTTAAAGACCAACTCATGTCCGCTGTTTTATAGCCATATAAGTAGAACAACGGTGTTCCTTTTTGTTTTTCGTCATGATAATACTTGAGAGTTAATTTGACTTGCTATACAATGTACATTCCATTGTTATCACGATTAATATATTTCTGTACTTTGAAGGTATACGCATGGACAGCAGTCTTTGTGCTACCCGTCAACTCGTCTCTTAATCCATATCTTTACACTCTTGCATCGATTCGTCAAAGGAAGCAGAAATCAGCTGAGAATCGAAGTATGAAGTACGAGGAAAAGACTATGGGTAAGGACTGATATCTCTCTCAATGGATTATCTAGTGAAGTGTGTCGACAATCTGAACGCGTGCCACATCTAGTATTTCGACATGTTTATCCTGTCACAGATTTCACTATTTTCAGCTTGTAAAAGACTGTTTGGTTGATGATCAACGCTAATATTTTTGTTTTTCCCTGATCGTCAAAGTCGACTATGTCGATACATAGGCACCCAGAGAACATGGAACTTTAAATCATAGCCTTGTCGTCCCCTGTTGAAATGTGCCCTTACAATGACGTATTACGTCAGCCGAACAAGATTTGTGTGAGCAATTCTAATTAGGTGCCACGTCAGAATGCTTACATAGTGTACAGGAGTAAAAAGAAAACTTTGATTAGAGTCTTGATGACGGTTTGAATTTTTTACCAATCGATTCATGATCGTCGTCATTCTCAGGAACTGAAATTGAATGGCTGACATGCTTTGTTTTGTTATAAAGTCAAGTCTTTTGCCAACTTTGAGTTGCATTAAAAATGGAAGAGGAGGATCTAAGCTTTACAAATATGTGTCATCTATTTATCATAATTGCGATTAATTTATGATAAAACATCAATAAAATCTCGGTTTTGTTTTTTCTGGGATGCACTGTATAATCCCAGTATATCTGATGGGTGCATCGAGCTGATAGCCCTACTAGATCATGAGTCAGACAAAACATTGAATAGAAGTAGATTATTCTTAATATTTCAATTTATGTTCATTTATTTGGCAACGTATATGCGACTTGCCCATAAATATATTAATCCTTTCTCAGGGGACAGTATTTTGGACAACTTTGACCTCGAGTTGATTTCTTGAAAATCTTTTGGAGCGCGTTTTACGCTGTCTTACCAAAGGGTCCCGTAACACAAATGTTTGTAATCAATTACAAATTTGAAACAACGATTGTGATTGGTAAATGGTTAGCCTTTTGAACAATATTATAGTGAATTAATGATCGTGATTGGCCATTGCCATTTTTGCGAATGATTGCAATTTTGTTTTACGGGGCCCAGAAGTTTTTTTTCCCTTCATTTAATGGATGCTTCTAATGACCCATTGATCCCTTACAGAAGCCAGTATTTTTGACGACACTTCAATTATCTCAGCTTTCACGTCTCTGCCTAGCCCCTCACCCGAGCGACTGATCGAATGGATGAAACGTAACCAACGATCTCTTGGACGTTTAGAAATCGATGTAATTCAACGCGACGTCACAAAGGCTGTGGAAAGAATGAAGGAGTCCGGGCTATGGAATGACGTCATACTCAACTTGCATCAAATTGCCGTCCAAGCAGTAAGTTTGAGATTTGTTTTGGAAGTGACATTAAAACTGTTTAAACGATCGAAATGACTTTGGAAAAATTAATGAAATGTAACTTTAATAGCCTTGTACATCATTTGATTTCACGAAGTCTTTGTGATCCTTTTTTTTATAAGAGAAATAGTGATGGACAAATTTAACAGGAGCACAATAATATAAATATATCCGTTATACCATTTTAACAACAAAATCCAAAAGGTAACTATTCCATTTAGGTAAGGTAATATTTTAAAGTATTGTCTAAAAAGTGTTATGATTTTTTTTACAGGATGGTGCAGGAAGAATCATACACGCTTTTGTAGTGTTAGACTCATCTCTGACATTCCTTGAATCACGTGATGAAGATCTGACGACCATTCTGGAAAATGATGAAAACATTGACATCATACTCAATATGATTGCGAGGGCTAATATGCCAAAGTAAAGAAAAGGAGAGATATCGGAAATTCTAAGATTGGAATGAATCATGAAATAACGAGGTTTACATGAAGCTGCATAGAGTATTCCAGAAAAGGGAGAACATTTAATGAACAATGTAAAAATATTGAATTTAAGTTCGCATTTGTTGCACCTTTAAATCTATCATGATAGGTTACCGAAATTACCATTGCCTTAGGCGTAATCAAATTTGTAAAAAGTTATATCAAACTCTTTTGTTAGGGGTATATACTTACTTGTGTATCATACTGTATGTCTAATTGTAAATATAGAGGAAGTGATATTTTTAGAGAATACATTCTATTTACCATGATGTTATGTTTAAAGTCTAAGTCACACTAGTGTACGACCGGTTACTGACTTCCGACAAGCAAAACAAAGCTGCGACCGTCGACAACCAATTGAAAATAATGTATAGAGGGCGACCAGTTGCCGATCAGTTGCGGAATGTTGTACGAAATTGAACAATCATAAAAGATTTTTGTAAACTAATTTGCGGCCGCTCATGGAAATATTGGGGAATGGTTGGCAGTTGGTCAGTCATTTAACGGCGATATCAAATAACTCGTCGGAGAACAATGGCCGATGTTCTTACGACGGTCGGCAAGCTTAACCTTGGGGCGGAATTATATTGATGCAAGCAAACACATAATACACTTCTTGCTTATTGTATTTGTTTAGATGAGGTGAGATTTTATTTTATATTTATTCAATTTTTCTTCAAAAGACGAATCAGTATGTTGCATTGAAGCCTATAATTATGATTTGATCAGAAAAAAGTCATACAAAACAGAAAAGGGGATAGAGGAAAAAAGGATAACAATGGAACCTAATATAACAGGACTCAGTATATTAGTGCTTAATATTCATATTTTTCATATAATCTTTTGTTCTCGCTGTTTTCATTCAACGGAAAATTGCAAAACTAAATGTATAAACTGGCAGTAAAAGCAACAATAACAATTCCAAAGTGTCTACGGTTAAATCCCTTATAATATACTAGTTCGGTGAAAGTTGATGAAAGAGATTAATCGGCGACTGGTCGTGTGTCATTCGCCCATCAGCTGTCGTTCATTTGTCAATCAAATATTGCCTGGAAATAGTCGTCAAGCAATGAAGATAAATTAAGGCGAGCAGTCGTCAATAAATCGGTGAACTGTCGCCTACCCTTGGTCAACCTAGACAAAATCTTTGAGTGACCAGTCTGGTCAGTAAAAGGTTTTCCGACCTCCGGCCAGCCAGTGGTCGGAAGTCGACGACCGGTCGTAGCTCTAATGTGGCTCAGGCTACAGGTACAGAAATAGCATGATGTTTGATAATGAATACTTGTTTAAATAACTTTATAAGCACATTGTACAGAAAAGAGCAATCGTTGAGAAAGACTGTTTGCTGATATATCTTTATTTTATGCTATTCATAATATTATATTGGCATCAGATTGTCCATTTCTCTCAACATAACTGCTGATTTCTAGATTTTGTTTCACTTTGGTGAAAGGTACTACGCCTATTATTTGCAAATGAAAAGGTTAAATTCCAATGGCATTTGAAAGATGGTAATAATTTAGAACTTCTCTCAAAACAGAAGGCTTTGAAATTGTCTTTATGTGTGAAAATAATGACTGTTATTAAGCTATGGTCACAACTCAGAGCGGCAACCGACCGATTTGTAGATCGCTCGGTCGCCGCTGGAATTTAGGCATCGCCCAACGACTTTTGAATTTTTGACGAATCGAATTAAGCGATCGTCGTTTAATATGATTGTACCGAGTGGTCGTACGTTCTATGCTGCATAAAGATTCAATAAAAACCGATAAAAGCCGTTAGGAAAACGAATTCTGATATTTCTAATTCTAATCATAAATATCCAGAAAATCAGACAAGCGACTGGCTTGTAAAAGTCAGGGTATTTTTGTATGACCTACAGGTTTATAATTATGATTGCCGCATGAGCTAAATCCAGGATTGTTTTAGACTCTGAGGCAAAGTTACCCAATCCCTTTAAAGGCACACTGCCATACTTGTAGCTACTTGCTCCCTCTATATAGAAAACTTCCCGAATCGGTGCCTGTTGGTCCCCCATGATCCTCTTTTTCTTATGTTAAATGAGAGCTGAGTTAACGAGATAGCCACCTGTCACAGTGACCTTGATGGCTCTCTGTGTGGTCTAATCCCTTCTGGCCCAGTAGTGGTTACGGTCTTTAAATGTGAACTAGTTCCCGGAAAATCGTTGTGTATTGCGGACAACGCTAGCTTTTGTTACCCAAGTGTATTTTTGTTCTCAAAATTATTTGCACGATCACTATGAATGTACACTTGCTTTTAATTTTAATGTTTACAATTCAAACATGTCGTACCATTATTCTGTGTTAACCTTGTATATATTTGTTGCAAACACATGCTTAAATTTAAACAGAATAAAATAATTAAATGGTTCAGAGTATAGTGCTTCACACAGCAAAAAGTAAAGAGAGAAAGCATTTTATCAAGGTTGAACTAACTATATTCAACAGAATCGCAACTATTTTCGTGAAAGTTAGTAAAGGGCGATTTCAATAACTACTGTTTATCTACATAGAAATCATGCTTTGATTACGTAATACGTCATAACTATGTACCCACATTTTAAAATGTGACGTACAAGGCTATTGAAATTGCCTAAATGTTGATTTTCTAAAGACACATGTATAGTTGCGATTGTGTTATATGGGAATCTTTTATGCATGTATTTTGTTGTAAAAGTAATCCCATTAACCTCTTCCTCACTGCCGGAATTGAAAAAGACATACATAGATGAAAATACGCGAATTATAAAGATGTACGTATGAACCATTAGAAAGGTGATAGGTACTGCAAAAGCAAAAAATAGCAACGAAAACAGACATAATAAAGCTTTTCGTCTTGTACTCATCGGAGTAAATTGTAAGAACGAACAGAACAGCAATCGGGAAATATCAACGGAAGCTAAAGGAACAATTGGAATGCCAAAGATTAAAGATAAACTTGAGTTCTGGTAAAAAAAGAAATTGAATTCTCACAGAATCTAACGAAACTTATACTGAATGTTCAAGATTACAAATAAATGTCATGTGCCAAACAATTTTGGAAAAAAAATGTATACTGGCTGAGTAATGAGCATAGAAAGATAAGGAAATCAGGGTAGTACTAGCCCCGACACCATGTGTGTTGTCCCATATACATCTTTCTGTGTAAGTGATTGTTACTTTACCAAAACTATGCCACATTTATGATGATTTTGAAGACTCCAGAACCTTGCATTACACACCATTACTTACATGCTATATGATCTACTTTTCTGATCCATTCCACACCTTTTATTTCACAATTCAATCGCATTACCAGAACTCAAGTTTATCTTTAACAGGCTGTGATTGGCTGCCGGAAAGAAACCATAAATCCAGCCGATTAATGACAGCGCGCTATTGCAATGCTAGGTAGAATAACGTTAGACTTCTCACGAACTTTTCTGACGGCACATTCTCTATTCTGTGCCCACAGAAGGAATTTGTGAAATCTTCTTTTTTCTTTTAGAAATTTTTGAATTCGTGTCTGGATATAGAAAGGCATTCAATTTCTTTGTGCACACTTTAAATAAACTGTTGTCAAGTATAGGCAGAGAAGGGGGAAACATTTATTGATGGTTGATGAACAAAGATATACGTACTCTCTCACATTAATTAGTAAGAGCCGCTACTGCACGATTCACCTCTAATTGTACCTTCAATAAATTCAAGTGATGCACAAAACTACGAATTCATACTAATGTTTTTCGAATCGATGTTTGTATGTGTCCCCGTACAAATCAATGCAACAAATATATCATGCTGTGACCTGTTTGATTATTCACATTCGGTCTTTTACACACTCGCAATCTAATTTCACATTCGGCCATTTTTGCGATGTAATAGCATTTAATGAACAACTCTTTGTTATTAGTGCCTCGTTACAAATGATTTGAGTCACCTGTTACGCCGAATAATTGTATTTCAATACTCAGAATGCGAATCGCATACATTACCTGTTGCTAAGTATGATAATCCAGCCATAATATTTGTCCTACCTAGGAACACATAATGTGTGCGATTCGCCTTCTTACTTGAAACCCTATCCACATGTACGCTGCATCACTCTGAGCAAGAGAGAGACAGATTGAGGGAGGGGGAGGCAGAGATGGAGGGAGAGAAAGAGAGAGGAAGGTTGAGAGAGGGGAGAGAGGGGGAGGGAAAGGGGTAGATAGATCGGGAAACGGTAAGGGAGAAAATGAGTGAGAAAGAGAGAGAGAGAGAGATTGAGAGAGGGGGAGGGACAGATGGAGGAAGAGATAGAGGGAGAGATGGAGGGAGAGAGGGGGAGGGGGGGGGGGGAGATGAAGCGGAGTAGATAGGAAGAGAAAGGGGAAGGGAGAGAATACGAGAGAGAATGAAATAGAAAGAGATGGTAAAGAGAGAGAGAGGTTTGCAAAGACAGAGAGAGAGAGAAAGAGACAGACAGACATCGAGAGAGAGAGAGAGAGAGAGGGTATGGATAGAGCATTATTGTTTATGAATTCCTCAATCCTCCACTAAATGACATAAATGCCCGATGCAAGTACACAATTATATTACGTTGCTATTTTTTATTAAAAAATAGCAACGTAGAAGAGTATCTTCAATTTAAAATTGAAGATACTCTTCTTCTTCTTTTTTTTTTTTTGGGGGGGGGGGGGGAGGGGGTCCTTTCTTACTTTGTTATTTCATTTTAATAACTATTATTACGTATTACAAATAAATAAAAAATATAAAGCACATTTTACTGTTTTACAACAAAATAATGTTATTTCTGTCTAAACCATGCTCTATATTATCAAAATATCAATGACAGACACTTTTTCGTATTTGATCCCAATTTATTTGGCCGCACAATATGATAAAATTGATAATAAGGAAGTTATGCATTTTTTAAAAAGTATGAAAAACTATAGAGCAATGAAAAACACTTCACAAATTGCCAAATTGATTATTAGTTTGTGACGTCATTGCTTCACTATTTATCAATTGCTTCATACATTTTTATCCCATTATTTCCCTTTTTATCCCAGAGATTTCCCCATGCCCTTGCCCAGATTTTATGTTTTGTTTTAAGTTTTATTTCACAAAATCTTTTATGAACTTTGAAACATTGATACTATTTTCGGAATACTGTATATTCATAATTATTATTTGTCATATAAATAGTTTATTATAAGGGTGAAAATTGAAAAATTATATTATCAATATAAAGAAAACAATTAGTAGATAGTGAGGCAATGGCGTCACAGACTGATGAGTGAGTTGCCAAAATGTCTTGTGATTTTCAAAGTTTTTCATGTCATTAAAAATTCATAACGTTCTTATTGGTTATCCGATTTTGCTCAAACTTTTTTGATTTGTTTGTCTGATTTTCTGCTTGTATTGAAAGTAAATTATTATAAGAGTGGACTTGCCCTTTCAGATGGCTTAGGTCAAAAGTTAAAACTAACGAATACGTAAAGATGTTTCTTATGTTGATGTTGGATTCTATCGAACGTTTAAATCAATTAATGGAGGAGAAGAATCTCAAATGGAATAATCGTACCTGTTTCTTGTACGTAGTTTGGAAAAGTGTGTCAACGAAGTCGTTTTCTTGTCGAGAATAAATAGAAACAAGATGATCTAAACTGTCTATGACTGAGTCTCCGTCGCCAAGAGAGGGCACTGAATGACTACGTCAAAACATTTCAACTTGTGTCCACATCTTGTTGTAGGTAAAAATCTGTTCAAAGAAAATAGCCAAAAATGT